TTATATATATTACATATATGTATATATGAAAAATATATCAAAAATGCATGTGGGTACTCAAATTAAAGCTCTTGATGAGTGTAACATCGGAATGAGCTTATATCGTTAAAAACATCATTAGTTAACAAAATACATTATAATTCGTTAATTATAAACATTTTCGTAAATATAAGTCCATTATGATATTATACTCATTGAGACCTTTCATTCAAGTACCCACATGAATTTTTTATATATCTTATATATATGATATTTATAAAATACTAGCATTTACCCGCTGCTTCGCTCGCGTTGAAGTCCTTCGATAAATATCAAAGATCATTACATTCCAATAAAACTGAATCAATGTGATTCAAATTTTTTGACAAACAATTTTTTTATCTTTCGTAAAAAATAAATTTTTTTCTTTGATAAAAAGTATCCTATGTTATTTCTAATACTTTCAAGAATATGTGTACAAAGTTTCATGATGACAAATATAATAAGTAGATTTTACTATCAAATAATTATGAAGACTCTATTTAGTCAAATAAAATAAAAAGAATTAATTTTTACACCAAAATTAGTTAGTTTATTGACAGAAAACGACTGTTTGAATTATTTGAAATATTCGAACTATTCGAATTATTCGAATTATTCGAATATTCGATTCGAATTTCGAATCGAATAGTACTATTCGATTCGATTCGATTCGAACACTATTCGCACACCCCTACTCCTTAATGATAAAATTAATCCTTATCTTTCCACACTTTTCGATTAGGAACATTTCAAACTATGATAGCAGAAATCAATTCATTATTTATCATGTCGAATTAATATTGTCGTGACAGTAGCGTATATCAATTAAAAGTGTCTCTAGTTTAGTCATTCGAGTTTGATCAGTTAAAGAACGTCGTTTAACAATTATCACAAAATGTAAGCAATTATTAACTTCTTTCTGCAATTATTATTCTTCTTTAAAGTTCTACTTTTTTTACTGATAACTTGCTAACCTTTATTGATTTCCAAAGGAGGAGACTTAGCAAATCGCTGTGGAAGAAGATCTTCGAGAAGCTGGACTTTCGAACGTTCGTAGGGCTGAGAATGGTGAACCGAGAGTTTTGCAAAGGAGTGAAGAAACATCTGTACGAATTAGAAGTCTGGCGATTGATGTGCTACGAACAAACATTGTTCGACTGTAGAACAATGACGATGGCTCGTAGGTTTCCATATGAGCTTATAACGCATCAGAGTGAAGTTAATGACCAAGATCTATGGCGAGGAACTTATTCGTCGTTCAAAAAGTGGGCCAAAGTCATCGAAAGTCCTCAAAATACTCAATTGATGCTGTCAGTGTCTCATCTGAGGACAAATATTACTTGTGTTGCGACTTTTGGTGAGTAAAAATGTCTTATTGATCTACAATGGTGACAAATTTTTTCTATGATTAGCATATTTCATTTTTGCAAAATCAATTTTGTCTTCTTTGGTGATTGCTATTATTTATTTTGTTTCAGACAAATACTTGCTAATATCTTTCGAGAATGGCGACATGAACTACTATGATTATTCAGCAATTAATAAGAATGTCCCGGTTTTCACTGTACATCATAATCATCGAATCCTCCAATGCGAATTTTGGTATTGCAGTTACGTATAAAACCATAGCTTGCTATTCATAGATTTACACTGAAAAAAAAGTATAAGTCCCACACTTATAAATTTGAGTGATATTGCAATACTTGGTATTGGGAATATTTTTAAACAATGCAATAATATCATACGGCAAATTAAAGTCGCTTACTTAAACAGAGTATTGCGATAATACTTAAACTTTTTTTATATCATATTCGCGATACCAAATCGTTAAAAAAGTGTATACCAATAGGACTTAAACTTTTTTTTCAGTGTTTCATATAAACTCTCGAATTTCGCAAATCTAATTTATCTTCAAGTACTTCTTGAAATCAAAGTCAAAGTAGTAAAATTCGACAGTGTGATGATTTGGCATAAAAGTTTTATAAAAGTATTTCTCATTTCTTCTTTTGATATAAACAGCCGATAGAAGAGCAAGACATTCTGCAAAGCTGATAATCGTCGCGAAAGACATAAGAAATCGTCTATCCTTTTGGGATCTCAAGCGAAAGCAAAGACTTTTTGCCGGTGATGATTGCAAAGCCTACAATATATGGTAATTATCAATTTGAAACAATCTTCTTTAGGTATCTTCATCACTTCTTATATTTTTGAGGCTGGTTTAATACATCTCACTGTTTCAGTACCGGCGAGGGCCGACATTTTTGCATCGGCGAGTACGACGGTGTTTTAACATCATACGAGCTAAATAGCCAAGATGAAATAGTTCCCGGTGCTGTCTACGAATTAAATTTGAGACAGAACGAATTCGTCGCGAATCTCTGCATTGATGGAAAATATGTAATATTCTTTTTCTTCTTCTTTGTTTTATAAAACAAACTTGTTTATATTAATGCAATGCGACGAATTGTTGGGTTGCAGATAACAGCAATGTCAATGATGGCGAAGGCTAAAAGAATTGGAACAATATTGTACTTCCTTGCAGCAATTATCGAGGACAACAGGGTATTGTATTTTGAACAAGAACAGGAAAAAGATTGGATTATGCTCCCTGAAGATCTGTACGAAATGCGGCGACTTGTTATGCCAACAATAACCTTCTTTCTCGGATTAGCAGGTCAGTTTTTTCAATTTATACGTCTTTTTACTTAATTTAATCTATTTTGAACTGTTCCACAGAATCCAAGATTGGGTCGACTAATTTTTACGAAAATGAGTGGCATGAGTATGATATTGAAAGCATATTGGGGTCCCAAATCACTGCAGTAGCTTTACATGCACAAATTCTCATAATTGGCTTGCACAATGGTAAGTTTTCATAATCCAATGACAATTTTTGGAGTTTATCTTGTCAAATATAGTAAGATTACAATGCACTAAATACTTTTTTCTTTTAAGGTGACATTCATTTTCTTCACATTGAAAATTATATGGACATTGTTAACATAGAAAAGAGAATTACTAGCAGTGCAGCAACAAATATATCCAGCAAGCCGATAATTGATTTAATCATTATGGAATATCAGCAAAATCCATCGATTGTTGCCGTAACTAAAGATGAAGTTATCTTGATTAACTTTAAGTTTTAATTATTATGAACTTGATTATCAACTTATTTTAATTAATATTTATCTGTAGTAAGAAAAAATATATATAACTATTAATAGTTTGGGTTCTACATTAACTGATCCTAGTAATCTTATACCACGATAACTGATCCCAACCAACGAGTTGTGACCTTTTATCATGGATTTTGTGTGTGTTTATTCGACAATAGACTAATACATAAGCTTGTTACCGTATTGTGCCCTACAGTAAAACAACATCATCATAGCACACTATTAAAACTAATGGCAATAACAGATGTAGAATAAAATAATAATTAATTTCTTTTCAAATGGACCCCGCTGAACCTTTAACGGGGTCATATTAAGACCATTATTTTAGAGATTAGTTGTCAGTGGGATTAATTGACGCTGGGATCAAATTACAGGTATTAGTTGTCATGGTATGAAATTCCGGGGATAAGTTAACGGCACACTATAGCTTGCTATATTATTATCCCTCTAGTTTTTATAAATTTCTTCAGTCATTAATTTTATCCTTTCTTCTTTAATATTATAGATTTTTAATAATATACTTTCAAAAGATATAACTATTTCTTCTATAATTTTCTGGAAGATTCATCAAAGATTTCTTAGTAAAATCTTTTATAGGACAAATATTAAAATAATAAATATCTATGTATAGATATATATACTTTGCATGGATTGAATCATTTCAAATTAGATTCCTTACCGGAAATTTTCCATAAAAAATTTACTAAAATTCTGGACCGAAAAAAATTATATTACATATGATTAATTTATATTGACCATTTTGTTAATTAATTTTTAATTGACTTTTTGCTACTATCTAAATTTTTAAGGTCATATTGTAGTTTGTTGTAGTAAATGATTATCAAACTTAATTACATTTATATTCAAATTTCTATTACAATTATTTGATAAAAACATTCTCTACAATTTTATCCAAAATTTTTCTGAAATTCATATTTGTGTCAAAATAATTGAATTTATAACATTCTAAATACTACCTGTACACGATTTCTTCATCCTGGCCTTGAACTTCCGCATCCTTTTGATATTCTGCATTCATTAATCCTTCCTCCAGCTGATCCTGACTCTGATTTCTTGCAAACATGTGAAACATGTTACATCTCACCGAGTCCTGAGTCCAACCGTCCAACGTCGACCTGAAACACACAACACCACCTGTTAGATTAATTCTGAACTACAGCGCGACTCTTCTAGTCCAACAGAACTCTTCATTGCCAACTGCCGAATTTTTATCTAAAGGAATAAAAAATTCCTAGCTGTCGTGCTGCCCCTTCTTGAGTCCCTAGACCTTTTTTCAAAAATCAAACTGTAGATTATTAATCACTAGGAGACAAGCACAGAAATATACTTTAAAGCATTTACCAATTTTTATCGCTTGACTCATCAGAGCTCATCAGCTACTCTGGTCATAAACAAGACCACTAGCTTGAAATAATTATTCCGATGTAATTAGTGGATTGTTAGTGTTAGTTTGGAGTGTGTTGTTATTTTGTGAGTGGTTAGTTATTAGATTGGGCCGTGAATGAACGTAAATATGAGAGAAAAAGACGAACTGGAGTTTAACGGGCCCTGTAATAAGGTAAATAACGATATGACACCATCAACTCGTGCGTTGGGGCTAGATGCGCTGCATAGTGTCTGCAGAGAGCTCTATCCTAATCAGACAAATCCACTTACTGTCACTGCTATTTTAAAATTTTGGTAATTATTTTTTTTTTTATTTTGATTTTTTTAAAAAATGGAAAAAAAAAATTTTTGTTCTAAAAAATTTTTTCATTTACCAATTTTTATCGCTTGACTCATCAGAGCTCATCAGCTACTCTGGTCATAAACAAGACCACTAGCTTGAAATAATTATTCCGATGTAATTAGTGGATTGTTAGTGTTAGTTTGGAGTGTGTTGTTATTTTGTGAGTGGTTAGTTATTAGATTGGGCCGTGAATGAACGTAAATATGAGAGAAAAAGACGAACTGGAGTTTAACGGGCCCTGTAATAAGGTAAATAACGATATGACACCATCAACTCGTGCGTTGGGGCTAGATGCGCTGCATAGTGTCTGCAGAGAGCTCTATCCTAATCAGACAAATCCACTTACTGTCACTGCTATTTTAAAATTTTGGTAATTATTTTTTTTTTATTTTGATTTTTTAAAAAATGGAAAAAAAAATTTTTTGTCAAAAAAATTTTTTTTTGCTTTGTTTATTAAAAATTAATTTTTTTAATTTATTATATTCTAATTAAATAAAATTGCAAGCATAATTTTTTTAATTTTCTACTTGTAAAATTTTCTTTTTAAATTTTTTCAACAAAATTTTTAAAATTTTTAGAGAAGTAAAATACAAAAAAAGATTTTTATTTTTTTTTTAATTTATAAAAAATGTCTTAGATTTTTAAATAATTTTAAAACTAGCAAATAAAAAAAACTATTTTTTTAAAATAAAATTTGATAATACTATTTGATGAAAAATAATTATTTTTTTAGGCTTGGAGGTCCAGATCCTTTAGATTACATAAGTATGTATGAAAATCCTGGAAATCCAGAGCTAGGAATTCCTCCACATTGGCATTATATTAGGTGAATTTTTTTTTTTTTTTTTTTATATTTTAGACCAAAAAAATTTTATAAAAAAGAATTAAATTTTTTTAATAATACTTAATTAATTTATAATTTTTTAAACTTAAAAAATTTCAAGTTAATTTTTTTCCAAAGTAATTTTATATAATTAAAACTAAAATTTAAAAATATTTAGTAGACATATCACCAAAACCCATCTCCGTAAATTCTATTTATACATTACTTTGTCATCAGATTCCTTTCCGGTACAGTTTCCGGTTTGTCTTTTACTTACAGGAACACCCTAGCCAGAAGCTATTTTTAATCCCTACATCCTTACTTATAAATATAAACTGTCTCAAACTCTACCATCTGCATTTTTAATCCCCGAAAATTCAAGTGATTGATATGTCTTTAGTTTTCTGTAAAAAAAATTTTTATAAATAAATTTATATAATAAAATCTAAGGACTAATGTTAAAGTTCAAATTTATTTAAAAATATTAAGATATTTTTTAAAAATATTAAAAATATTTTTATCTAAATTTAATCTCAACTAGCTTGGGACTATCAGATCTCCATGGAGATGGCAGGTTGCATGCGAAAAGCATGCCAGGGCAACCTAGCGGGTTCGGGTTCGAACTAACATTTCGGCTTCTCCAAGAACCGGAAGAAAAAACGCCACCTACCTGGCCGGCAAATGTAATGCAACAATTGGCTAAGTATGTCTTCACTTCGGGCAACATGCTTCTTCCAGGGGACCATGTGTCCTGGCACTCTCCTCTGGGGAAAGAAAACAGCCGGATTACTCAAATATTGATGGCCAAGGATCCCCAGTTACCAGAGTCAGTGTCGACCCCTCACGGATTGGTAAGTTAACTCAATTTCAAAGTTAAACTTAACTTTACAAAATAAATATTATTAACTAGCAACCTTGCAGTTATTCTTCTCTAAACTACTTTTTTTCTATTTAAATTTATCAATAACAAAATTATTATAAACATAGTTCTGAAACTCTCTGTAAGATGGCGTTGTAAAGCGGATATACTACTACGTCACAGTCGCGCGAAAATTTGAATTTAAAAAAAAACCAATTTTGTTGATTTCACCTTTATTAAGTCCTAATAACTAAAATTAAGCTTTTTAAAAACAATTTAATTAAACACCCAAGTTACTTATCTATTAATAAACAAATATTACAAAAAAAAGGTTTTTGTGAGTTGATGCAACGAGCAGAGAGTGTGTTCCAAAACACGACCGTTTTATCTACTAATCTTACCTCCAGGTTTCCTTCGTCCAAATAGTCGGCGTGACTCCTGAAGAGCTGCAAGCAGCTCAGCATTGGAATGGCCAGGGAATGATAAACCTCTTGAAAACCGTCCCTGGATGCGGTCCTTGGCTGATCACGAATGTAAACCGGGCCTACTCAGCAATGGAGGATCCAATGGTGGCCGAGCAGGTCCAAAATGGAATCGAGCGGGAGGGTTCCAACCTCAGTGGGGTGTCTGCCAAGTGCTGGTGGGTGCAAATGGAGAACAACATCAGTTTGGAGAGCTACCGTGAGAAGAGAAAGGATTCCGATGATGAAGACGACGGCGATTTCATCAACAAATTTGGGATCAAGACGGAAAGTATGCAGGACGATGGTTCTCGGGATGATGTGTTTAATAATTACAGTCCGACGGTGAAAACTCTCCCGGGGTTGCATCTGTCCTTCAATTTAGAAGCCGGAAGGATTCTTCCTCTTGCTATCAAGTTAGTATCTTCAAGATCTGGTAGGTTAGGATTGTATTGTTGTTGATGATGATGATGATGATGATCAATGTTTGTCTCTTCCAGAGGAAGAATAATGCATGGAAGGCACTTTACATTCAAATCCGTGCTATCACACACTGCGACGACCTTCGTCGCACCCTCGGTCACGGGGAAATTTGTATCTAGTGATAAGCCATTTGTAGTCCAAGGTCCCTGGTTGCAGGTTCTTATCAATGATGAGCTTGCCGTCAAAATGGCCGAAGAGTTTCAAATATTTAATTCGCTAACTCAGGTTAGTTTTAATGATCAAATTTTGATTACTTTTTTTATAGAAATTCTTTACGCCAGAAGGCTATTTGGATCTCCTTAAACTATTTTTAATATTAAAAATTATTGTTCAACAGGTCCAACTTCCGAAAACATTTTCCTGGCCAGACTATAACCTCGCGATAACAATCGTATCCGACTGAGAGGTTAACGAATTTAACCTAACTTTACCACAATGCCTTCTTAACTATAAAAAATGATAATATTTATTAAATATAAATTCATAATTTATACTAGCAAAGTACTATATTATAATAATAATTATTATTATTTATACTTATAAATATCTAACCTATGTAAATAACTAAATTGATTAACCACCAGATCAAAAATGTATTAACATTGATTAATAAATATAATTTTTATACACTTTGTTAATAATAAAGCAATAATGTGCGAGTTAATTATTTATTAATACTTATTACTGCGCTTTTTCCGTACAATCGATTTCTTCTTAGAATTTGTCTTCCACATGTGATCCCTCACCGCCGGAATTCCCGATTCGTAGCCATCCTCGGTATTTCGCAACTTTTTAAACACCCTCAGTGGATTGTACCGCCCGTAGCTCTGTAAAAAGCCCCTTTAAGGTTAAAATCTTTGTTCCAAATGAGGTTATGTTCGAATAAATTACCTTGTCGACGAGACTGAAGAAAAATTTGACTGCAGCGATCCAAAGTATGACAACCAGGCAAGCTTCTGCGAAGTCTTCGACATTTTCCGAGCTAATTGACCTGACGACGTTGACCACCCCCCGGAATACGTTCGCAAATGTCTGCATTGTTTCGATGCACAAGTCCCGCAAAAAACAGACTACCTGGAAGAGCAAATGGGAGATGGCGATTGCTAGGTCGACGAATCGACCCAAAAACTCCATCAGGATTCCCAGAGAAATTTCGAAGGTGTCTCTTATCCAGGAGCTGATGTCCATGCACCCGGTTCGTAACTGATCGTAGATTAGTGATGATCGGTACATTTTTTTTGTTTATAACCTAATGTTGAAATATTGATGAATTGATGTGCGTAAAATAAAGAGTAACAATTTTTGAAAAATTATTTACTGACAATAGTTGAAAAAAATAATCACTTTGTAATTTAAATTTTTAACACGGAATTTATTTTACGGTGAATAATTTATTACACATGACAATTTAAAGGATGTCTACGATGTGAATGTTGCAATGTTTATTTAGCGTGACAGATTGTTTTTTATTTTAAATTTTACCCAGATAGCAATATGACGTCTTTTACAGTTCTCAAAGAACTCTTATTTAAGATTTAGACGTCAGAATTTTGATCAAAATGAGGTCTCCAAGACGTTTTGAGGACGTCCAATGCGCCACCTAAAGAGTGAATCAGGACTTCATAGAGAGAGTTCTTAAAGAGCTCTTTTTTCTGACTTCAAAAAAAGAGTTCTTCAAGAAGTCAGAATTAAGAGCCCTTTCTGACTCCAGAAAAAAATAATTTATAAAGGAGACATTTTCAGTTTTAATTGCATTGTAATTAATATTAAAAAAGAGCTTAAATTGAAGACAATCAAGTACATTAAAATATATTTTCTTCGAAATAAAAAAAAAAAAAAAA